TGACCCAAGCCATGGTATTTTTCAATCACTTCATATGTATGTGAAAGTTGGACAGTGAATAAGTAAGACCTCTGTAGAAGAACTGATGTATTTCAATTATGTTGTTGGAAAAAAATGTTAATTAATAGTATCATGGTCTTCCAGAAGAACAAACAGATCTGTGTTAGAAAAAGTACGGTCAGAATGCTTGCTAGAAGTATGGATGACGAAACTTCATCTCTCCTGCCTCGGACATATTATCTGGCAGGACTAGTTCCTGGAGAAGAACATCATGCTTTGTGAAGTGTGGGATCATCAAAAAAGAGGAAGACTCCCCGCAAGATGGATTGACACCTTGGTAGCAGCTATAGGTTCAAACGTATCAACAATTGTGAGGACTGAGCAGCACCAAGTAGTGTGTTTGTTCTGCTGTGTATAGGTTCACTATGAGTAGGAACTCAACAGCACCTAACAACAAGAAAAACAAGAGGCACATGTTTAGGATGAAACTCCAAAAGGTCAGAGAGTTTCATGGAAGCTGAACTCATGAATAGATGAGCTCTTCATAGAACTCACATGGCACTGAATCATTTGAACCCCCACCAGAGTGGGGATGCCTTGGTATAACTCAAGGCATTCATTAAACTCCAGAAGGGCTTCTTTGTAGTAGGGACAAACTATGCTAGAGGAATGGCTCTGGTGGTCTCTTGTAACAAAGTTTAAAACAAGAATTGATGTGGTCACTGTGAACCAAGAGAACCTTAATTCCTTATGAGAAGAACAGCGCCCAGCAGTTTTGTTCTGTAAAAGATGGCAACAAAATCTAGACACTCAACGACATAACATTTACACTGTCTAGCATCCAGTCAGAAATGGCTGACATGCCAAGAAGCAGGGGCCTGTGACTCAGAAGCTGGAGAAAAATCAGTGAATGAAAACAGAGCTGAGATGCTGGTCGAGGAAGATATTAAAATAGCTGTTGTATGGTGTTTAAGACTTTAAAGAAAAGCATAAACTAAGATGGTTGGTTCCCCACCTGCAGGCAGAAATCGGTGAATAGGTAAAATCTGAAACTGGGGGATTCTTGTACTACCAGGAGACATATTTGACACAGATGATATGTGCACAGACTGTGACTTCAGTCTCTCGGTTTGAATCCTGGCTCTGCAACTTACTAGTTGTTAGTTCCCTTAACTAGTTTAGACCTCAGTTCTGTGTCTGTCAAGGGGAATTAAGCTTAGTACCTACTTGATCGAATTGTTGGAGAATGGGATGAGTGGACCTTGTGGAGAGCACTTGGGAGAGTGTCTGGTTCATGGTAAATGGTGGTTGTCATTTCAATGTCTGGTTGAGGCATCATTCTAAGTGGGGTTTCGGAGGGCATAAATCTTTATGAGAGCAGAAAGCCTCATCATGCTGATAGTGGATTAGAATACCTGAATTTACAACTGCAGCCCAGTGTATAACCCACCTTATCTTGCAAATCATCTAAGTCTTTCACTAGACACTGCTCAGCCAAGCCTGTTTCACATGGAATGCAGCAAACTCACTATCTACTGGAAGAGGAACTTTCTCTTGCCTTTCCTTCCCAAGGTTTGCTCATTGTTAACCAATGCATCCCTGACTGATCTGTAGACATAAAGCTTCCAGGAAGTCAATGACCGACATGGCAGCAGAATTCATGGCCCTTTATTCTTTGCCTTGTTCAAAGACCTGCCCGCTTATACCCAAGAACTTTAAAAGCAACTGTCATCAATGTCTGCTTCCTTGACCCCTGCATCGCATTTCCTTGTGCTGACCACGGTCCCTTTCTCACTTCTCTTTCCAGCATCTTCGAGTGCCAAGGTCTCCCCATAGTCAATGGACAATGTGATCCTTATGCCACTGTGACATTAGCAGGACCATACAGGCAAGTAGTAACCGTATAATCGTTGTGGGTCCTAGGAGACACATGAGGAGTAGTCACTGAGTGCAGTCTGAAGAAATGATAATAATACCTCATTCACAAGAATGCAGGAAGCACTTTGAGGTAGAATATATAATTTTGACTTCCCTTTGTTTCTTTTATTGCTCTCAATTTGCTTTGTAAAGAAGAAATCCTTTATGGTCTTCATGTTGAGTATTTTTGGCTCAGTGAAGGTTCCTAATTTGCATACCATCTGGAGTTGGAGACAAACAGAAATATTTATCAGATAAATAAAGGCAGTAAGTTACTTGTGCATTTAATAGCTCCGTTTTAAGACTAAGAAATTTGGGCTCCGTGGAGTTATTTTTAATCTTAATCCTTCCTCTCTTAATTACAGATCAGAAGCTAAGAAGACAAAGGTGAAAAAGAAGACCAACAACCCCCAGTTTGATGAAGTGTTTTATTTTGAGGTTGGTATTTTAATGGGACTAATATTAAGTTGAAACCCTACATCCGAGGAACTTTGGCAGAAGTCTAGATCTGAGCTATCTCAATGACTTCCTTTTGAAAGTGCTTTTCCGGTATCAGCACAGGCGGAATGGCCAGGACCATTGGCCGGCACCTCCCCAGCTCTGGGAACCATGTGTCAGTTCCCAGAAACTTTCTGGGCTCTTCCTAGACAGAAAAGCTTTTTGGTTTGCTCCCTGCACTGGCCTAATTTTGAGTTACATGCTGGCAAATGAATACTTTCCAAATGATTGAGGTTTGGCTTTTGTTTATTTGTATGTTTTCATTTGTTTATATTAAGCAGATCCACCCAACCTTCCCTGAGCAATGGTGGGAAAATAGTGTTACCGGCTCTTGATGCCAAAAGAGAAATCCATTCTGGTCCAGAGATTCTCCTGTCTGCCTCTCAGATTATGAAACACCAAGATTAGTAAAATGGAGCATGTGAGAGCTGAGGACTTTGTAGGACAGAAAAACAAGTAACTACAAATGAAGTCCCGCTGTAGCTCTGTAGGATCAACACTGGACTGCTAACCACAAGTCTGGCAGTTCAAACCCACCAGCTGCTCTTAGGAAACCCTATACAGGATCGCTGTGAGTCGAAACTGACTCGAAGACACTAACAACAAAACAACAACACAACTAGTTTAAGTTTAAGGAGTCCCTGGGTAGTGCAGTTAACACTCTGGGCTGCTAACCTAAGTGTTGGCAGGATGAGTCCACCCAAAGGTACCGCTGAAAAAAGGCCTGGCAACCTCCTTCCCAAAAACAGCCGTTAAAAACCGTATGGAACACGATTCTACTCTAACCCAGACGGGGCAATTAACTCCACGTAACTGGAGCGGACCAGAAGTTCAAGAAGGCACATTTAAAATACTTATGTATTTAGTTAGGTGCTCAATCCATGAATAAATTTTTCTGAGTGTTTCAAATATGCTGGATCCTGGGGAGACAAGGATGAGTGAAACCTCAAACTTGGCTTCCAGGTGTTTGCTACCTAGTGCTGGTGGTGGTGGTGTGCAGTGCAATCGGTTCCGACCCATAGTGACCCTGTATAGGGTTTCTGAGGCTGTGTCATCTTTACGGGAGCAGAAAACCTCATCTTTGTCCCATGGAACGGCTGGTAGTTTTGAACTGCTGACCTTGAGGTTAGCAGCCCGATTCGTACCACTACGCTAACCAGAGCTCCTTTTTACTACCTAGTAGAGGAGAAAGATATTCAAGAAAATTCTTGCATATGGTGGAGTACCTGCTGACCTGGCTTTGGGGATCTCAAGAGTAGACCCTTGGCCCTGCCTGAGGTGAACACAACTTCTCAGAGATGGTGACTCTTGAGTAGACTGTGAGAAGAGGGATCGCATATCAGGGAGTCATCCACAGAAAGGAGGTCATCTACATGTGTGAGGTATTGGGAGTCTGGCAGAAAATGCTGTTTATCTGGAATTCAAAGTAAGGTTCACATATTGAAGGCACAGTGACAGGTGAGAACCAAGAGTTTCCTATGCAAAGAATTTTCTTTTTCTCTGACAGGTGTCTAGAAGTCCCATGTGTTTCTTAAGTGGTGGAGGGCAGTGAGCAGCTTTATGGGGGAAACGGGATGGAGGGGTTTAGAGGTAAGATCCAGGAGACCTAGGATGAAGAGCCGGTATCAGTCATCGATGGAGATAATACTCGGTGGACTGCAGAGAAGCGGGCATTTTATAGTCAAGCAAAGAAAATGGGTTTTTGTTTGTTTGTTTGTTTTTAAGAGAGTTGAGGTAAGGCAGAAAGCCAATGATGGTTCACCTTAAGTATAAGCCTGATTCATTCTGACAGGGAAGAATTCTTGATCAGAGAAATGGAGACAACCGTTTTTGATGTGAACTGTGAATTAATGGCAGTATTTGCCTTCTTGTCTAAGCTGTCTGGAGAAATTTACATCCGTGCTTTCCAAACCTCTGCTTTTAGCATGATGCACAATAAATGTATTTTACATTGTGACTGACTTCATTTATACATCTGTCTTCATTGATGGACAGTTCTTACCATACTATGAGCCATTCACTCAATATTTTCTATTTTGTACACTTTTACCCATTAAGGAGCCCTGATAGCATAGTGGAGTAGGAGCTTGGCTGCTAACTGCAAGGTCAGAAGTTTGAATCTACCAGCTGCTCTAAGGATGAAAGATGAGGCTTTCTGTTCCCGTAAAGAATTACAGCCTCATATAGGGTCACTGTGAGTCTGGGTCAAGTTCATGGACAAATGGAATGCAAAAATTAGAGAATTTTCCATGAATTTTTGAAGTCCCCTTATTCATCCATCCATCCATCCATCCATCCATCCATCCATCCATCCATCCATCCGTCTGTCTGTCTGTCTGTCTGTCTGTCTGTCTATCCATACATACATACCTACATACATACATAAATCCATCCATACATAGATACGTTTATCTATCTGTCTGTCTGTCTGTCTGTCTGTCTATCAATACATCCATACATCCACCCACCCACTCACCCACCTATCCACTTACCTACCTGTCTATCAATCGCTAGTGTCAAGTCACTAACTTAACTTGACAACCAACATGAGTTTGCACAACAGTGGTCTGGATAGCCAATCTTAAGGTCCACCAGATAGAAAACTGCTTCGCTGGCAACCCCCTTTAATGTAGCAGACCTGCCCAAAGACCAGAGACATTCAGCGTCAAGGCTCAATAACCCTAGCTGCTTGGCTTTGATGTCCCTTGATTCAAAGGCCTCAACCCCTTTGCTTAGTTAGCAACACCTCCCCTTTCATCCGGAGTCTTCTTATCTCATTTCGGTTTCAGCTGTTGAGCAGCACTTCATGGTTTGTGTCAGCTCCAAGGCCTCTGGCTCAGTCTGAGAGCAAGCCCCTGACTGCCGTGCCCCTCAGCCCCCCCCCAGGAAAGGAGAGTGTAGGGGGTAGACGCAGCCCTGCCTACCCACAGGCAACCCTAAAAAAAGAACCACATGGAGACAATCAACAGTTTCAATAGGAAGTAAGTGGCCCCATATGTGCCAGAGTAGAACTGGGCTTCCTATGGTTTTCAGTGACTGGTTTTTCAGGAGATCACCAGGACTTTCTTCTGAGGGGCTTCTGGGTGGACTCAAACTCCCAGCCTTTCCGTTAGCAGCCAAGTACATTAGCCATTTGCACCGCCCAGGGACAACTAAAACCAAAGCACCACACTTATTGTCATTAAGTGGATTCCAGCTCGTGCTGGCTTCGTGTGTTCCAGAGCAGCACTGGACTCCACACGGTTGTCTTGGCTGTCGTCTCTATTGACAGACTGCCAGACGTTTCTTCAGGTAAACTGTTGGGTGGGTTCTGATTGCTGACACTTAGCTCAGTAGTCAAACGCAAACTGGTTTGCACCACTTACAAGCCCTGTACGCATTGAAATTCTGTAAGAGCCACCATCATTCATTTAACAAATGCATTAGCTGCCTACTTTGTGTTGGTGTTGTTGTTATTGTTGTGGTGAAGTGCCCTTGAGTCAGTTCCGACTCATAGCAACCCTCTGTAGGGTTTCCAAAGAGTGACTGGTGGGTTTGAACTGCCAACCTTGTGGTTAGCAATCCAGTGTTTATCAAACATTTACACTCACCAGGATTCCTTGTGCTGGTGTTAGGCTGGGAATAAAATGGAAAAAAAAAACAAAAACCAAAAAATAAATCAAATAACTAACTGAGAGAATTTGTATAGTCATCCGCTGACAGCAGAGGCAGGCTAGAACACTGTTTGGAAGAGACCTGAACCTGCATGAACTGGAACCCTGGTGATAATACTTCAGAACATCTCCTTGTAGACCTGGGCCTCCTGCCACCTCATTGGTAGTCCAGTGTGGGAGACAGATAGTCAGTCGGTCACCCGGTGATAGCACTGTGGCCCTCACTGTGCATAGGAGAAGGTGTGACAGAAGAGAAGATGGTGAAGGAGTCAGGGGGCACCGACCTGCTTCCGAGGAACCAGCCTTCCCCGCTGCCTGAGGACCTGAAGTGAGGAGCCTAGGGTTAGTGGCCGTGGTGTCCTGCTTAGCCAGACCAGATGGTGCCGCAAGATTCACCTACAAATCTCAAGCACGGAAGCAGCATGATTTGTGTTTTTTAAAAATGACTGTTCTGTGTGGAGGAGCCAAGGTGCCCTGTAGGGTAAGCACTGGTCTGCTAACCACAGGCTGGTGGTTCAAACCCATGAGCCGCTCCACAGGAAAAAGATGAGGCTTTCTGCTCCTTACATACAGCTTCTGAAGCAGGTATCGGACGGCTGTGAGTTGTCCTCGGCTAGATGGCAGGGGTTGGGGTTAGGGTTGAGAAGGATTGGTACAGGCTGAGCCCTTATGGAGGCCTTGGAGACGCCTCTCTCATCAAGAGTGACGGAGACGCTAGAAGCAGTGGACACTAGTGTTGGGCTCTGAGAGCTCATTTGAGGGTAGAATGGATGTGGCTTCTGCTGTAGGGCAGGAGGATCAGGTGCCCCAAGCTCCTGCTTTTGTGACCGGAGTAGCTAGTGGGTGGTGGTACCATTTTATGAGATGGGGAGGGTGGGGGGAGAGCAGATTTGGGAGTCCAAGTGGAGGTGGTCAATAAACCAGACCAAATCAATCCCATTGCCATACTGTTCATTCTGACTCACAGCGACCCTATAGACCAAGTAAAACTCTCCAAAGGGTTTCCAAGACTAATCTTCACCAACAGAAGCTCCTATTTTCCCCACTGTGGAGAACATAGTAGGTTCCAACCACTGACCTTTCAGTTAGCACCTGATAGGTTTGAATTGCTGACCTTTCCAATGCTGAACCCATAGAGCGCTCCAGGGGCAACACTGGAAACCAGGGTGTGGAGGAGGGAGACTCCAATGCCCTGCAGTAACAAATGAAATCTTCAGAGCATTTGTTTGTTTCTTTGCACCACCCTGAGCACTGTCTTTATGTTTGCCTCCAATTTGCAAATCAGGAAATTAAAGCCCAGAGGTTAAGCAATTTAAGCAAGCTCACATAATGACTTCGTGCCAAATACTGGATTAGAACTCTGAGCGGAAAGCTTCCCTGAGCTAACCCCTTGAACCCAGAGAGAGGGAGGGAAGAGGAGTGGTGTCTGCCAGGCAAGAAGGAGCCCTGTTTGTAATCAGGGCTGTAATTTTATAAGGGTTTATGCAGTTCCAAGAAGAAGCATACACTGTAACTTGCTGAGATTACAAAGAGTCCTGCTGCTTGATACATTGTTATTCCGTCCACAAGGGTGGCTATGGATTGGACAGAAATGTGCTTCAAGTCTACCCCATCTCACTTTTTAGTTCCTTTTTACATTTTAAGGAACTCAAGATCCCCAAACTATCAAGAGGAAAATAACAGTGTTTGCTGTTTTCTTTCATTTTTCTAACCCCAGCTAAATTGATATGCATCCTTTTTCCCCTTTGTGGGCAAAAGAAAACTTGAAAGCCCTCCGACATTGCTCATGAGGGAAGTTCAAGGGCATCTGTGGTTTCAGACAGCAACATCAATGCCTCATTTCATGGTTCTGAGATGTGGTCGTTTCATGGGTGAGGTGCTTGTACCCTATCATATTAATACAAAAGGAACTTCTAAAATGTTTGCTTCTTCTGTCAGCGAATGCAAGGAACTGACCTTGAGATGCTTTTAATAAGGAGAAACAGCAGCTTCCTCCAAGTGGCTGTCTAGGAGTCCTCTTCCTCCCTAAAAGCACACATCACTTTGAAGCATCAGCAGCAAAAAGAAAAGGCCCTGTAAGGGACATCTGTCCAAAGTCGCTGGACAGTTCGGACTTTGAGTGAAGCACATCTTAGCGCCCTGTGCTTATCACACCGATGGGCATCTAATGGGGGACTGTTTGAAGATTGAGGCAGGGCGCCCTCCTTACTCTTCCACCCACAGCCCACCTAGCACATGTTGTTAAATCGGTTAAGTGTGTTCCTACTCACTGTGGCCCTCTATGGGATGTCCAGGCTGTAAATCTTTGCAGAAGCAGAAAGCCTGTGGTTCACAGTTCATTGCTTATCCTACAGAAGCACTGTGCTCCACAACTAGTGTATTGTTGTTGTTGTTGTTAAGTGCCGTCGAGTCGATTCTGACTCATAGGGACCCTGTATAGGGTTTCCAAAAAGAGGCTGGTGAGTTTGAACTGCTAACCTTGTAGTTCAAATGACTTTGCTGTCCATTACTGTGTCCCACCAGGATCCCAACTAGCACATATTGTTGTTAAGTGCCATTGAGTCAGTTCTGGCTCATAGCGTTTCTAAGGAGTGGTTGATGGATTTGAACTGCTAACTGTGTGGTTCAAAATGACCTTGTGGTCCACTGAATTATCCTGCAATGCCACACCAGGACCCCTAACTAGAACAGTTGTTAAGTCCTGTTGAGTTGCTTTAGACTCATAGTGACCCTGTATGGGGTTTCCAAGGAATGGCTGGTGAGCTTTGAACCGCCGACCTTGTGGCTCAAACTGACTGTGCAGTTCAATGCATTAACCCACAGCTCTTTAATCCACTAGCACATAGTAGGACTCAAATACTTAGAAGATATGTGTTGATGTGGGGCAGATGGGGAGACGGGCCTTAGCTTCTGGCTGTGACCTGTGTCTGAGTCCCTGCTATTGTTGTTAGGTGCTATCGAGTCAGTACCCACTCATAGTGACCCTGTGCACAACAGAACGAAACACTGCCCAGTCCTGGGCCAACCTCACAACTGTTACCATACTTGAGCCCATTGTTGCCACGCTTCATGCTGCCACTATGCCAATCTGTTCTATTTTTCTCTGACCCTCCACCTTACCAAACATGATATCCTTCTCCAGAGACTGGTCCCTCCTGACAATATGCCCGAAGTATGAGAGACAAAGTTTGGCCATCCTGGCCTCTAAGAAGCACTCTGGCTGTACTTCTTCCAACACAGATCTCTTGGTTCTTTTGGCAGCCCATGGCACTTTCAATATTCTCCTCCAATACCATAACTCAAAGGCATCAATTCTTCTCTGGTCTTCCTTATTCACTGTCCAGCTTTCACATCCATATGAGGTTATTGAATGCATATGGCATGAGTCAGGTGCACCTTAGACCTCAAGCTGACATCTTTGCTCTTTCACTTTCAAAATGTCTTGTGCAGCAGTTTTGCCTAATGCAATATGTCATTTGATTTCTTGACTGCTACTTCCATGAGTGTTAATAGTTGATCCAAGAAGAATGAAGTCCTTGACAACTTCAATCTTTTCTCCATTGATAAGAATGTTGTTTATTGGTCCAGTGGTGAGGATTTTTATTTTCTTTACATTGAGATACAGTCCATACTGAAGGCTGTGCTCTTTGATCTTCATCAGTAAATATTTTAAGTCCTCTTCACTTTCAGCAAGCAAGGTTGTATCATCCGCATATCGCAGGTTGTTAATGAGTCTTCCTCCAATCCTGATGTAACATTTTTCTTCATAGAACTCAGATTCTTGGATGATTTGTTCAGCATATGGGTTGAATAACCCTGTATAGGGTTTCTGAGGAGTGGCTGGTGACTTTGAACCATCAAGCTTGTGATTAGTACTCCAGTGCTTATCCTATCGCACCACACCAGGACTCCAACTGCCCCCCTAAGAGTCCTTATATGCAGAATGAAGAGAGTTTACCGATTGTAATGGATGTTGTGTGAGGATTAAATGGGTCACAAGTGTCCCCTAGCACCATGCTCCCAGGACTTGGAGGCCTGAGGCTACAAAGGAAACTAATTTTGGCATGCTTCTTCTGGAGAGTTGAGCAAAGCCGACTTGAAGTGTCTCTGTAATACAAGTCTTCATCATCCTTATCAGGTGTGTGAGGAAAGGCAGAGTAACCCTTCCCTGTATTCAGAGACACGTGAGTTCACAATACAGATAGTGTGTAGAGCACGGCCGGACACACAACCATCGGGACTCTCCGTATCCTTGTTGTAGGGTTTTTGTCATGACGTAATGGTTTAAAAGTGCTTTCTCCTTGTCTATGCCATCAGGTGACCAGACCCTGTAGCTACAGCAAGAAATCCCACTTCGACTTTGAGGAGGAGGACGTAGACAAACTTGAAATTAGGTAAGTCTGACAATCAATGTTTTCTACTTGGCAATTTCAGTTTGAAGTCACTTTTCTTGTTTTGGTTTGCTTTATAAAGTGGGGGTGGGGTGGACAGATGGCTTTTTTGGTAATTTTAACACTAAAATTTTAGCAACTATGTTGTTGTTGTCAAGTGCTGTCGAGTCGGTTTCGACCCACAGCGACCCTGTATAGGGTTTCCGAGGTGAGGTTGAACCGCTGGCCTTGCAGTCAAACGGACTTTGCAGTCTAGCACATTAACCCACAGCACCACATATAGTTGAAGCAAAAAACCCTTGTCATAAATTTCCCAGATATTTGGGTGGTAGTGGTTGTTTTGAGCCATGGGGTCAGTTCCAGCTGCCAGCAGCCCCGTGTAGGGTTTCTGAGGGTGTCAATCTTGACAAGAGCACAAAGCCTCATGTTGTTGTTGTTAAGTGTTGTCAAGCCGGTTCCAACTCATATTGACCCTGTGTAGGGTTTCTGAGGAGCAGCTGGTAGGTTTGAACTGCCAACCTTGTGGTTCAAAATCCATTGCTGACCCTACAGCACCACACCAGGAGTCCAGAAATCCTAATAGTGGGATGAAAAGATATTTGTGTATCAAATGGTAAAATGTTTTTATAGTTCACTTGACAGTATCTTCTCATGGATGAAGAACAAAAGATGTACGTTACTCATGCCTTCAAGATTTCATCCGCCCAAATGTTTGAGGTCACCCATGTCTGGGTGAACTGTGGGCAGCAGCTGCTTTTAGGATTCTCTTATAAAGCCCTTGGTCTGCACTGTGTGTGCTTGTCACCCTTCAAGATTGTAACTTACAATGTTTACTAGCCAGAGATGGAGAGAGGGAGCAGCTGAGGACTCATGGAAAGAGAGGGACTGAGAGCTGGAGGCCAGGAGGCAGGCTTGCAGAATGTGCCCTTTGGTGGTGTAAATTATTATATATCCCTGAGTGTTTTGTCTTTGTTGTTGTTGTTGTTGTTGTTGTTGTTGTAAAGTGCCGTTGAGTCAGTTCTGACCCATAGCGACCCTGTATAGGGTTTCCAAGGAGCAGCTGGTGAGCTTGAACTGCCAACCTTGCTGTTCAAACAGCTTTGCAGTTTTTGTGTATACCCCCCTAAAACAAAAAAGAAAACCAGAGGGAATGGAAGTCAATACTGTTGACTGATGATCCACGGAGGAGATTGTAATCATTGCAATGAAACGATGGTGTAAAGCTGATGTTCTCCCATGTAAACGATCACTCAATTCACAATAAAAACCTGGAAAAACAAATGTTTACTAGCAACACAGAAGGTCCTCCTTGAGCCTCGGGCTCTTATAAAGAACTGTATGGGGTCCAAGTGACAGAAGCAACTCCAGAGGGTAGACAGGAAACTCGGGAACCAGCGTGTTTATTTGAATGGGGAGGTACCGTTTGGAAAATCGAGTAAGAATGGTTGTGGAGATTTTACAGACTTAACATAATCCTGCCAATGAATGATGCACATAGAAGTGATTGAATTGGTGTATGTTCTCCTGTGTACATTTTCAACAGCAACAAAATCAAATACAACAATTTACAGGCATCAAATTTAGAAAATATTCCAGGGCTCTCTGCCCACCATCTTTGGTTTCCAGATCTTGGGTTTAGAAAATCCCCTGTGGGAACGCCAGCTTTTCTCTTGGACAGAGCAGAGGTAGGGCAGCTTGGGTCAGGGGTGGGTGGTACTGAGGGTCTGGTCACCACCCTGCTCCGAGTGGAACAGGACCACTTACTCGTAGAATCACTGAGCTTCTCCCATGCTCCAGGCTGGACCCAGCTCCTTCTCTGAGGAGCTCCTGCCCTCCTGGGAAATGCTAAGCACCATTTCTTGTAAAATGATCTTCTCTGTGGATCCTATATTTATCTTCCCTTGTTCTGTTCAAGCGTGTTGTCATAGAAACTGAGTCTTTGTTAAACATTCACCTATGGCTGGTTGGCTCCTATAATCTTCCTTTCTTAGCATCCTAATATTTTCCATAGGAAATGCGGGAGAAAGACACGTGTTGTTTAGTGAAGGGATTTGAATGCTTATATCAAGGGGACATGTTTCTCATGTCCACAATCCAGAAAGAACTTCAGAAGAAATACAAGCAAATGTGAATCTTTACTTCTAGAAGGCCTCCACAATCCCATTTACTACAAGTCTTGTAAAAGGTGACCTTTGAGGAATGCCCATCTGATGGACCAAGTAATTGTCCTCTTCTCTTCCTAAGAGTAAGCTGTATTCGTGTTTGTTTTCTTTCTGTTTAATGCCTGCCTACTATGAAGACATACATCATTTGAAACTCCATATTGTGCAAAAATGAAACATACTAATAATAATGGAAGCATAACAAATATTACTCAAAGCATCTCTTTCCTCCAGCCCTGAGTTTGCATCCCCTATCTCTGTTGTTGTGAAGTGCTGTTCAGTCAATTCTGACCCATAGC